CCAAAAAATTCCCGGAATTCCCGGAATTCCCCGCATTCCTCACCTGAGCGCCTGCTCCAGGCTCATTCCCCGGAACTGGAACAATTCCAGATATTCCCGAGCCACCCTGGAGCTGAATTCCGTGCTGGGGGAAGGAAAAACAGGAATTTTGGGGAGCCCAAATCCTCAATTCCCCAAAAAATTCCTCAATTCCCCAAAAAATTCCTCAATTCCCCAAAAAATTCCTCAATTCTCCCCCCAAATCCTCATTTTTCCGCACCAAATCTTCATTTTTTCCCCCAAATTCCCGTTTTTTGCCCCGAAATTCCCATTTTTTTCCACCAAAAAATCCCCATTTCCCCCCCAAAATTCTCTTTATTTCCCAAATTCCCGTTTTTCCACCCCAAAATCCTCATTTTCCATAAAAAATCTCATTATTTTCCAAAAAAATCCCCATTTTTTCCCAAAAATCCCCACTTTTTCCCAAAAAAGATTCATTTTTTCCCCCAAAATCCCCATTTTTCCCCAAAAATTCCCATTTTTACCCCAAAAAATCCCATTTTTATCCCAAAAATCCCCATTTTCCCCAAAAATTCCCATTTTTTTTCCAAAAATCCCCACTTTTTTTCTGCAAAAATCCCAATTTTTCCACAAAAAAATCCCCATTTTTTTCCCAAAAATCCCAAAATTCCACTTTTTTTTCCCAAAAAATCCCCAATTTTCCCTGAAAAATCCCCATTTTTTCCCCAAAAATCCCCATTTTTTCCCCGAAAAATCCCCATTTTTCCAAAAATCCCCATTTTTTCCCCAAAAATCTCCAATTTTTCCCCCAAAAAATCACAATTTTTCCCCAAAAATCCCCATTTTCCCCCCAAAATTCCCCATTTTTCCCTCCAAATCCCAATTTTTCCCCCAAAAAAATCCCATTTTTCCCCCAAAAAATCCCATTTTTCTCCCCAAAATCCTCATTTTTTTCCCAAAAATCCCCATTTTTCCTCAAAAAATCCCATTTTTTCCCAAAAATCCCCATTTTTTCCCAAAATCCCAATTTTCCCCCAAAAATCTCCAAATTTTCCCCAAAAATCCCCATTTTTTCACAAAAAAATCTCCAATTTTTCCCTAAAATTCCCCATTTTCCCCCCAAAATTCCCCATTTTTCCCTCAGAATTCCCATTTTTTCCCAAAAATCCCATTTTTTCCCAAAAATCCCATTTTTTCCCAAAAATCCCATTTTTTCCCCAAAAATCCCCATTTTTTTCCCAAAAAATCCCATTTTTTTCCCAAAAATCCCAATTTTCCCCCCAAAAATCCCCTTTTTTTTCCCCAATAATCCCCATTTTTTCCCCCCAAAAATCCCCATTTTTCCCCAAAAATCCCATTTTTTCCCCTCCAAATCCCATTTTTTCCCAAAATCTCCAATTTTTCCCAAAAATCCCCATTTTTTCCCCAAAAAATCCCAATTTTCCCCCAAAATTCCCCATTTTCCCCCCAAAAATCCCCATTTTTTCCCCCCAAAAATCCCTTTTTTTCCCAAAAATCCCCATTTTTTCCCCAAAATTCCCCATTTTTCCCCCAAAAATCCCCATTTTTTTCCCAAAAATCCCCATTTTTTCCAAAAAAAAATCCCATTTTTTCCCAAAAATCCCCATTTTCCCCCCAAAAATCCCCTTTTTTTCCCCAAAAATCCCCATTTTTTCCCCCCAAAATTCCCCATTTTTTCCCAAAAATCCCCATTTTTTCACCAAAAAATCCCTTTTTTTCCCAAAATCCCCATTTTCTCCCAAAAAATCCCATTTTTTCCCAAAAAAATCCCATTTTTTCCCAAAAATCCCCATTTTTTCCCCAAAAATCTCCAATTTTTCCCAAAAATCCCCATTTTTTCACAAAAAATCCCATTTTTTTCCCAAAAATCCCCATTT